ACAGCAATGCCCTCAGCAAGTACTCGACAGGCCTCATTCACCACAGGGAAGAATATCATCTCCACAATATCTTTATCAGACATTTTCGTCAACTGGGAGCAGTTTTTTACCGGAAATCAGATGAATGTTACATACATTTTGGGTGAAGGTTAGTTACAAAAATACCATCCCTACCCCCTAAAAACAAAAGGCAACAAACAAAAAATATCTTGCAGAAACCTCCTTGATATTTGTGTTTGTTCACAAGTTTGATAAGGGATACTTGTTTGAAAACTTGAACCTCAACCGAGTTTTGTGCGTGTAACACCTTAAAGTAGTATCAATCCCAAATATTGATTGGTTTTCATTTATCTATTTTTGTAGGTGTAACCGTCACCTACAACACATTTTGTAACCATCACTTATTTCTTGAAGGGTGGAGTGGAAAATAACCTTAGGTTCGATAGAAACACCCGAAATCTCCCTAGCCTTCTCGATGTATTTCTTTATTTCCGGATCAGGGCTTGCCTTGCGCTTTTCATCATAGATGTAGAAACCCCGACGAGTAGTTTCACCTAAAGCACTTATATAATCGTCAACACAATCATTGTTTTTCTTTTCCTTCAGAGCATCCGTATTCCGTAGCTCAATAGATTATAATGTGAAATATGTTCTTACACTGTAAAATAAAAGTTTTACCTGCCCTCTTATCCTCTTGCATAAGCGGTATCACCATCGACTTGTAAGTTCTTTCTGGGAAATTCAGTACAAATTGTCCCCCAGTGGCAACTGCCACACCGAAACCGACTAGGTCGCACAATCTAAAGGCACAGAAAGGAATATAACATCCAATTATAGTCTCGAACCTCAAGAATTCTATGTAACTTAACTCGAAGTAGGAATAATTAGAAAAAATAACCCTAAGGTCCACTTTACATCCCAGAAACTCTGTCAACTAATTAAAACATTAAAAAAAAAAATCACCTTTCAACTGGGTTGAAACTTAGAGGTAGCTGTTTCTTTTTTTTTTTTTTTCCTTCTTCCTATAAGGCTATGCTTCAAGGGATATTACAAGAAGTATCATGCAAATCTAATAAATACCTGAAGGGGCCCATCGGCATCCCAAATTTGGTAATGGCCCTATCTATCTGATACACGTCGGTACCACGCTCCACGAGTAAAAGTGCAGCTTGTGTGTAGGGGAAAAACATCCTGTTGACGGCAAAGCCTGTGCAATTTCCAACCACTACTGGTGTCTTCTTTATTCTCTTGCCAACATCCAATAAGTCAATAATCGCCTGGGGGGATGTCTTCTGGGTTCGAACAATTTCGAGAAGTGGCATCACATGAGCCGGGCTGAAGGAAATGACAAAAAAAAGTTTATATCACATAACTTAAGGGGAAATATACATCGGCAACCACAACCTCGACGCTTTTACACATTGCAACAATTTTATATTTTAACTAATAATCTAAATTATGAGTTTTTCGGTCGACGACTCCCAATCTCAAAGACATCATGAATATTCCTAGAACAGTTAGATGCATATGAAAGAAAATTGATGGTATACTACGAATTCGGATATGATTGGAGGTTGCAGAGAACTGCCATCATTATAATAATATATAGTTTAGGTGGCCAAGTATGAAAATGACCAAAGTTAGGTTGCTTAGTTCTCTCTCTTCTTTTTTCAAAACTTGGAGATTACCTGAAAAAATGAGCTCCGATGATACGATCCTGGGACATCGTTTTCTCCCCAATCAAATTCAGATCAATAGTGGAAGTGTTGCTAGCAAGTATGCAGTGTGGAGGGCAGAATTTTTCGAGGTCTGAGAATATTTGTTGTTTCAAAGAAACATTCTCGATGACAGCCTATTTACGTGATGAATAAAAAGATTAATAGAGTATACCAAGTTAAAATAAACACAAAAAAGTTGGAAAGAAACAGCATCGAGACTCAATCGACTTAAAGAAAGTTTCTAGCCTCTCAAGATTGCAAATACTGCCCACATCAGGATACTGTATGAAAAATAGGGGGTATTGATTTTGAAAAATAACCGGAACTTAATCTAATTCATTCGAACACAAATCGATAAAACACCACAACCCCTACCTCAATAACCATGTCGACATCTTTGAAGCTCTCATAATCGAGAGCACCTTTGAGCAAAGAAAGAGTTTTCTCCAACTTCTCCCGACTCATTTGTCCTTTCTTCACACGGCTTTGTAAATTTGCTGACAGACGTAAATACCAATCAAGACTAATGTTATGCTCAATTCGACACAAGTTGAATTGTCAAAACAAGAGTTTCACCCTCTCACCTTTTACTCTACCAATCCCGGCTTGTAAGAACTTATCATTTACTTCTTTCAGGACAACTTGGTAGTTAGACAGAACCAATGCAGTTGCTATTCCAGAGCCCATAAGACCTCCACCAAGTATAGCAACCTTCTTTATGATCCTCGGTTTCAACCCTAAATCAGTGACTCCAGGTACCTTCATGTAAATAGTAAGACAAAAGCTTAGTAAATTCATGGACTTAGGTTGACAATGCGTAAGCTTTAAAGTTAGACAAGTTTTTCGTCGGCATCTTATTTTAATGAAATT